CGCTGAAGTTTCTCGGAGAGAATTTTTACGGGAAATTATCAAACAAGCAGATACGCAACACTATATTGTTCTTGAACCGTTCAGGAATAGGGCTTTTTAAATGTGAATATTATTCTGAAAAGTTTTTCTTTTATGAAACAGTCAATTCAAAAAGAATCTGTGATAGCTCAGACCACTTTTATGTAGAAGATACTCAGGTACTACGTTCATGGTTTGTATCGAACAAGTCCAAGTAGAACTGTTTATTATGTAATCACATATGGGAAGACCCTTGATGGTGCTTATGATTAGCTAAGGAAATTTTTGGATTGATTGAGGAAAGAGAACCTTCAGCTGAATCCCAAGAATTGTGAACTGTTGTGTCAACAGGTTAGTTTTCTGGAATACATAGTCAACAGAGAGGGAGAGTTTACAGACACATCTAATATTGAGTCTTTTCAGAATAGATCAATATCAAAGAACTTGCATGAGGTAAAATGATTTCTTGGACTGTACTCTTATTATTATCTTTTGTAAAATCATTTTCTGTCATAGTTCGTCCCCTACACAAATTACTTGAATAATCTAATAAGGTTTATTGGACTACTGATTGTGAACAAGTATTCAGCAAACTGAAAAAAGAATGAACCATTATTCCTGTATTAACACACCCAATTCTTTAAGATCCACTTATCTTAGATACAGAAGTACTGTTATCACAAGTATAACATGTAAAAAATATGTGATCGCCCTCTATAGCAAGGCAATGAATGCTGTGGAAAGGAGGTGTTGTACAACTCAAAATGAGCAAGTAAGTGTTGTTTGAGCCCTAAATCACTTCCATCATTACCTATGTGAGCAAAGTTACACTCCAAACAGATCATATAAAATTGAAGTGGCTGTTAACTTTTCACAATCCAGAAGACCAAATAACAAGATGACATCAAAAACTTCAGGAGTACAACTTCAACATCGTACATTACCCACGACAGAGCTATGGAAATGCTGAAATAATATCCCGAAAACCGTGTGTTAAATAAAGCATGCAAAACCCTGTTAAAAGAATGGAGTAAATGATATTACAGACGACCAACCTACAGTACAATAGAGTAGGGTTCAAGATGGGACATACACAAATGATAATGAAGAATTAATGTGGCCCAACATTCAACTGAAAGATGCACAGACAGAGAATACGTGTCTGAAATCAATTATTCAGTGGATTAATAGTAGTGCATAAAAGCCCTCATGGCGATAGTCATTATATGCAGCTTGAACAGAAAGATGTATTAGATACAATGGGATTACATGGCTACAAGAGGACTTGTTATGTCGGAAATAGAAAGAAACAAGTAGACAAACACAAAAACTGCAGTTGGTACTTCCACAGTCTCTATGTTCATAAGTAATCCATCATCTCTACAAAAGTTGGGCATTTAGATGTAAAGAAAACACCAAAGAAAGTAATACAAAGTTTTTACTGCATCGGGTATTGGGGATCTGTAGAGAATTGATATAAATCGTATGAAGTATCTTGTGAGCAAAAAAGAAATAGCACTATTGTGTTGGAGTTAAGAGAGTTATTGTCGATGTGCTTGGTCCTATACCACAGAGTAACCGTAGGAATAAATGCATCATAGTTGTGATTGACTCTTTCACCAAACGGTCAGAAGCACTTGTTGTTCCTAACCATGAAGCATAAATTCTAGCAAGAATGTTCGTCAATGAAATTGTTTCAATATTTAGTGTGCTTATGGAACTTCAATCAGATGATGGACAGAACATTCAATCAAATTTATTTGTGGATTTTTTTTTCAGATTTTTGGAATACAAAAAGACAGAACAGCAGCCCTTCATCATATCTTCCAATGAAATGGGAGAGAGATACAACCACGAACTTTTAAATCAGTTAGCCATTTATGTGGGTAAACATCAGAACATGGGATCAAGATCTTCCATTTCTACTTATGAATTACTGAATGACAGTATATGTAGCTACAGGCAACATACCATCATTTCTGATGTTTGGGAGAGAACTTGAGGTGCCATTGGTCCTTCTGTACCCATATCTTGAAAATAATTCCCCAATAGTGTTTTGCATAGAATATGCAGAGAATCTACAGAACAACATTGAAGTAATATTGGACTTTACTCAGGGAAGATCTTAATCAACTAGTGATAAAATAAAATGTTACACTATGATGCTCATGCTAATAAGGCTGTATATGATTGAGGTGATATGGTTTGGTTGTACAAACGCCGTTGCGAGAGAGGATGAATTATAAAGTTAAGGAGGTGTTGGGAAGGGCTATATGTTGTACTTAAAATAATCAATGATGTCGTTTATAGAATCCAGAAGGACATGCAGTGTAAGCCAAAGGTAATCCACTGTGGTCATCATTGGAAGCATACGAGTGAGAAACTTACCAACTGGAAATTTCTGAGAAAAAGTTGCTAATGGGAATTCAACCTTCTGAAAAGCCCAGGGTTCCTGTTGAGACCACTTCAATAGGATCGCCAAAGGTAAGGTCGCAAGTGGATACAATCAACTACCTACCTAAGTATAACTCCCCCAGTAACAGGACATCATGTGACAATAAGAGACTAGAAGTCATCCTTCTCTATACCATAACCATCGGAAAAGAGAATCACCAAAAAGGCTTAGAGAATGAAAAGTTTAGTGTCCTGTTTTGTTTCTATATGACTACTGTTCAAAGGACTTCACAATCTAGGAAAGGGGAAGTGTTATAAGCTATATTTTTAATTTTTTGATTTAGATGTATATTTGCGTGACTTCATGATGGCCCAGTATCTAGAAATTTCATGAAGTTGAGGTCTATGTCGAATCTAGAAACTTCCTGTACTATGAATAAATAAGAGTTCAGGAGCCTACACAAGGGAGCAAATAGGGGCCAAAGTCACCCAATAACTCTATGCATAAAGACTCGGTCAGTGAATGTAACCTGTAGCAAACGGAATTAAACAGACAGTTTCGTTATCGTAAGCTGGACTTGGCATTATGTTTACCAAGCGATCCAAAATAACTCACCTAACGAGAGAACACGTTTCAACATTGTTATACGCTCTTTAAAACCCCT